TGGTCAGATTAGTGCACGACAGGCCAGATCCAATCAATCATGTGCCATTTCGACGAATTCTTACCATCATTCGACAGTGGTGGCCAGCTGTTGACAATAGTTGGGTGGGTGGGGGTGTTTTTGTTAATTTATAAATTTTTATTAAGAAAAATAATTGTTAAATGTTTTGAGTTGAATAGAACATGATTAGATTTTGAACAATATTAAAACAAATACATTTTTCATTTTTTAGGATAGATAGTGGTATAGGATAGGATGAGAAAAGTGAAACAAATAGAGCCAAAATACTTAGATATTATTTTACTGAAATGCCCTTTACAATATTTTTGTACAAATAATTAATTAATGAGGTTAAAGAAGTCATTCAACAAGTTGGGCTCATTGTTATTTGAAATCAATAAGAATACATTTGTGTCCTGAATTTTTATTAAGGGTAAAATTAGAACAAAAATAGGATTAACACATTAATATTAAAATATCACTCTTTGAATCGGTAATCACATAACCCCCTATATCACCTCTCATATTACTTGAGTAATAAAAGATTACTGAAATCTTTTATTTCCTACTAAATCAAACGATATAATGACCGGATTAAAAGATAGATTACTAGAGTAATATTCCAAAAACCCTAACCAAACACCCTTGAAGATTATCTATCTCATTGGTAATCATATTTTTTTATAATAAAATATTGTCAGAACCAAATGCAACCTGAGAAGTAAAATTCTCTAAGGGAGCTTAGCTTCCATTAGTAGGAGATAGCAGATACTCGATTTTTGTGATAAATAAAACCAATATATTTTTGGACAATCACATTTTTCGCTTAAATAGTATGTTTATATATTAATTTTTATAAAAAAATTTAATTTTTATAAAAAAAATTCTTTTTTCTTTTTTTATGTGGGGTTTATGAAGAGTTTTTGATAAGCTTCAATAATACTTATAAAATAGAGTATTAGTGCATATAGAATTATAATATCTTTTCTAATAATTTTCATTCAAGTTAAACTTATCAAAACAAAAAACATTTAAAAGTGGGTCATGCCAAAAAACTTGATAGGATTAAAAAAAATCACTTCTCTTTTAAATTGTTAGCTGGGATGGGCCAGAAATAAACTTTTAAAAGTTTAATTGGGTTGGGCCTCCACCCACCCAAACTAATTTGCCATTCTTACAGATATTGGAACAAATATCGATGAAACAATAAGAGTATATAATTAAATGTTGCAAGTTAAAAGATCAAAGTTACAAACGGGAAAGAAAAAAACGAGAACAAATATATGTTTTGGCAATTATATATATGGAGAAAATAATAACATAAAAAATAACAAAGGTCTAAAATATTTTTAAGATATTACATACATAAGTTTATAATTTTAAATTATTCGATATAAATTGATTTTTTAAATAAAACATCACATGCCACCTTAATTAAGTATCTCTACAGAATTTTAGACTTATAATATTTTATAAGTTTTTCAATTTTTTATTAAAAATATTTTTTTTTACAATTGTTATGTCATATAAAAATTTTCAATAATTAACTTATATTATGTACTACTTAATTATTAGTACATATAGCTTCTTAATTAGTAAACAAACGTTTGATAGAATGTTTGTAATTGTACTTCTTGATGTCGTGATATTATATGACGCCCAATCTTATTTCATGTCATAAATTTCTATATATTTATTTACCATAAATATGATATATTACACATATAAATTATGTATATGATTTTCTATATATATAAATTGAAATGTGTTGATGCAGAGATTTACATCAATCAAAGATACGTGATTGACAGAGTAAAAATCGCACAGGAAGTATGCGTAATCCTGGTAGATCAGCAATAAAACAACATAATGATGGATAAGTTAGAATTAATCTCAAACATAATGAACAAATATACAATTTTTAAAGTGCTTCGGCTACTTACAATGCAAGATTTACGTCTACTATTTATGTTATTGAATGTAATTTTGTTTACAAAGAGGCGACAATTTGCTTTATACGAATTGTTTTTCATTCTTAAAAATAGATTACAACTAAATTTATATAGTACCAATTGTATGACTGAGTTAAAGATAAACTCAAATTTATTTAGATGAGAAATTACGTGATCATTGACTTTGATTATATGATCCATATCGCAAGAGATTTGCATGTCAAAAGAGGATTTTATCCTCTTTGGATTTCCCGCATAACAAAGTGATATAAATACATTAGTAAATAAATAACATAGAGATGTGAATAACTTATTATATTCAACTGCCATGGCCAACTTTCAACAGCATTAAATTGTGCAAAGTAAGATTCGTTTTTTCAGAAATTAAGATTTTGCTATCAATACCATCATTCTAAATATCGGTTATAATTGTTTAAAATACATATATGACCTAATTTTATTGAATGGTCATATCATACTATTTATAACTGAAAAAAACTTTCTCTCTGCAAGATTATAAGACAATTAAAATTTGACCAAGATTTACCTGCACCTTTAAACATATTGATTGCTTCAATTTGCCCATACTTAAGGGTAAGGAAAGAAACGAGTAATGCTACAGTTATCGGGAATAGTACATAGAATCTGTACACCGAATGACGTGATAAAATTTTGACCGTCTATTAATATTAAGTTATAATTAATCGACGGTCAAGATTGCGTCACGTCATTCGGTGCACTACTCTCGGTGTCTATTATTTTCCGGAAAGATATTACATGCCATTCATGCCAAAACAATTAACATAAATCAATTGTATATATCTTTAAATAAATTTTTGAAAATGTAATACTTTAGATTACCAGTGACTTAGTGAGGACTTTTTATTGAAGATGAAATGGCGATATTTTTTTTCCATAAATTTAATGAGAAAGTACATAAATTTCAAAATACACTAAAAAGCCTCAAAACTTAAAAGATATAAATGCCCCTAAACTAATAATTAATTAAATTTAAAAAAAAAAAGGCCCCGCACTGTTTTAAACTTGGATTAAGGAGAGATTGTTGGATTTTATTTTATTTTTTTTCATTAATTATTAATTAGTTTGGTAAATACTAGAAGTACAAAATTTTTTACAAAGATTTATTGTATAAAGTGATATGGTAAGAGATGAACGAAATTCACTCTTCCATTCATCTCTTACCGCATCACTTTATATAGAAAATCCTTGTAAATTTCTTTTTATCTCTAGCATTATTATATGTTTAAACTCTTTTAGTCGGTTTCTAAAAAAGTTGTACCTAAATGATAATAGCCCTTTACCCATAAGGACGTGGATGTTTCATCATTTTATTTCTACTTTATTAGATTTCCTCATCACATCAAGGTTTATGGAAAGAAAAATCAGACATATATATATTAGGGGTGTTCAAAAGCGGTTAACCGGTTTTATTTCTACTTTATTAGATTTCCTCATCACATCAAGGTTTATGGAAAGAAAAATCAGACATATATATATTAGGGGTGTTCAAAAGCGGTTAACCGAACCGGTTAACCGCTTTTCTAGACCGAACCGGATTTTCGGTTCGGGAAAATTCCCGAACCGAAACCGAACCGGTTTTAGGGAAAACCGACCGAAAAACCGGTTAACCGTTTTAAAAAAAGCGGTTNATAAACCCATAATTTAATAGTTAGGGTTGGCACATACTAAGAAGCGACCAACCCCTTTGATGGTAGGCCTCAAAAAAAAAAACTAACTAATTTTTTTTTTATGGAAAAGTCTTCTCTAAATCTCTCTTTAGCCTTGGGGATTCTACTTGTCTTTATTAATTTGACATTTTTGTCCTCCCATTTTCCCCTAATTTAGTCCATATAATATACCCTCAAATGACTATTAATTGTGATTTTTAATTCTATGATTTGGTTTCATTATCGTTTTATCTGTATTTACATTTTTGTATTTTATCTCTCTATCTAATTAATTACTTAATAGACCTCAATTCTCTCTACTAATAAAAAATTACATATTGTAAATTACACCCTTTTTTAATAAAAATAAAAATTAATAATTTATGTAATTATAAACTAATAATCTACTTAATAATTAGCCATGGGACATACAAGTCTTGCCCCTTGAAAACACAAAATCTTAAATATCAGAAGTTAACTAACGCCCTGGACGTCAACCTGGAAGTATAATGTCCTCTTAAACCTTTTTTTTTTTTTTTTTAATGTATTTAAATCACAAGTACTTAAGTTCTATAGCAGCACATATATGTATAGTTGAAACATAGAATGATATTATCATGCAATACATAAGCTTCTAAGATAATCTCTCCTCTTATGATTGGATAGTAAATAAACCCTTTAGTCATGGGGTTTAGTTATACTAATTTTGTCTTCGAGTTACGTGAGAGATAATTACCGGCTTTACAAAAAAAAAAAAAATCCTAACATAAGAAAGAGAATTAATAGTAAAATGGATTTATTGGTTTTACCAAGTAATCTATACGTCACACTAATAAAACAACGTCCTATAATCCATTTATGTCACAAGTAACTCCGTCACATTAATTATTACACGTGTCATTACAAATAAAATGACATTATTATGCAACCACAAGCCTCAACCATAATAATGAGTCTAATTAATAATCAGACATAGATTCGTATTTATCATGTAATCTATACGATCAAGCCAATAAAAGTATTGAATGTAACACATTTAATTCTTATTGCCGGTACGATGAATTCCATAACATTACATATGTAATATGTAAAATTGCAGGTTTGCCTTAGCTGTTAACTTCAAGATCATGAGTAATTAATTAAGGTGTGCACAAACTAGTCTAAACACCCACTATCATCAAAACAAAAAACATTACATATGTATCATTACATACAAACATAATCATATTATTATTGAACATATAAAATTAAAACATATTAGGAAGAAACTGATTAACCAGATACATATATATCTTACGACATAATCGATACATCAACCTAATAAAACTTCAGAACTTACCATAATATATTACATCATAAATTAATCGGATTTGTTCCTAACCTTAACCAATAACCCAAACTTCATGCGAAACATGACACTTAAAGTAGGGGTTACAGGGTGATTTTCGAGCACTTGAAAATTGTAGTTATGGATGAATGTTGCTGCAATGGCCTTCATTAAATTAAAAGCAATGTCCCTGCCTAGACAAATCCTTGGCCCAGCATTGAAAGAGAAGAATTTATGTGGTGGCTCATGTTTAATCCCTCCATTCTCCGTGATCCATCTCTCCGGCTTGTATTCAAGACAGTCATCTCCCCAAACCGATGGCATTCTCGCCATTCCATACAGGAAGATTAGAACGTTGGTCTTATCATCAACACAATGCCCACCTGGTAAAGTTTCGGATTGAAGCGGGGTTCGGATTTGTATCGGCGCCGGAGGGAACAGCCTTAGGGCTTCACAAAGAGCTGCATGAAGATAGATCAACTTGCTCAACTCCTCCAGTTGGAACAATCTAATATTCTTCCCATCTCCCTTTTGTGGCAAATTTCTTTCTATTTCTTCCCTAATTTTCTTCTCAACAATAGGGTTTTTCTCAAGCATCCAGAAGAACCAAGTGAGAGCTGTACTACTTGTGTCAGCAGTTGCAAAAATAAAATTCACCATGTTATCTCTCATAACTTCATCAGAAACTTTTGGAGAATTCTCTTGATTTCCTGTCAAATAACAGTTCAAAAAATTGAAACCCTCTTCATCTGCAAAGCTTATTCTTGATTTTCCTTCACTCAATTTCTTTTTATTCATCGATATCTGCTCGGCGCAAAACCGATCGACAACTTCCCTTGCTCCATTCATTTTTCTTTCTTTCCCAAACCCTAACCATCTCTGCAACTTCCACAAGCTCTCCGGTAGAAGAAATCGCAAGATTATGGCCTCCCATGCATCGTCTAGGGCTTCAGGAACCGGATTTTTCGGTAATCCAATGCAAAGAGAATTAGGGTTATGCCCGGTGACCATCGAAGAAGCAAAATCAAAGGTATACCTCTTGAACAAATCTTGCAAGTCCAACACTTGACATTGTTTAGAGGACAGCTCAAGAACTGGGATGAGTCCATTCTCTAAGATTCTCCGAATGGTTTTCGCGACAACCTGCTGGCTCTGCTGGTGACTTATAAAGCTTCGAAAAGTATTTCGATGGGTCTTCTATTCGTCGAAATCAGTGTTGAACATACTATGATTTCCGAAGAATTCGAACCGTTTCCTCCACTCGACTCCCTTGTGATAGCTTGAAAATTTTTCCTTCATCACGCAGTTCACAATTGCAGGATCACAGGTGATCAATGTGTCCATTTGACCAAGCCAGGCACCTTTAAGGAGAAATGTCCCCATATTTGCTTCAAGAATTTGAGTGGTTTTCTCGTGAATTCGGTCGATGTTGAGCAGAAGTTCCGGTAACATTCCGAGGAGTGGTAAGTTCCATAAGAACTTCTTTTTGGTGAAGTGATAGAGAAAAAGAAGGAAGGAAATAGCGAGGATTGTGTATGGAAGGAAGGCAAATAATGGTGCCATCATGGTTTTGTGAAGAAATGTAGAAGAGATAATTGAAGTAGTGCAATGAGAGGGCTGGTGCAGACAGGTTTAAATAGAAAAACTTTGGACAAACTTTCAGAGAAAGGTTGATCTACATTCTGCAATGATATTGTAACCACTTACAAACATTCAAATAAAGTTCTAACATTAATATTTTGATGTAACCTAAAATTTGGTAACTTATATTCGGTGAATAACCAAAATTGAGACGTAAGAAATTCAAACTCGAGAACTTATTAACAACTTAATTCAAAATATTGTCATCAAATAAAGGTTCAATTAATTTTAATAGTTAAGTCTAAATGAGTTTATGAGATACATGCAAACTTTGAACTTTAGATTTTCGGCTCTGATATTATATTAGACCTTCAACTCCAGTACCATATTAAATTATCATTCCACCCACAAACGTAGGATGGTAGGTGAAGATTCAACCATATTAAATTCGTCTAAATTATCATTCCACCCACAAACTTAGGATGGTAGGTGAAGATTCAACCATATTATGGGGGTATTTGTCTGAGCTTATGAAAGTTTATAAGCAACAAGTGCTTATAAGCTAATTTTAGCTTATAAGTATTTAAAATTTTAAGCAATTACGTGTTTGATTAAAGTAAAGTACTTATAAGTGATTAATAAGTAGTTGACGTGTTTGGTAAAATGTGGCTTATAAGTATATTTTATTATAAAATGACTAAAAAGGGTACTATATTAAACAAGAGTATTTTATTTTATTTTATTTTATTTATTATTATTATTTTTTTTATTTTTTTTTTATTTTTTTTTTTTTTGCTTATAAGCTCAAAAAAATTATAAACAAATAGGTCAGTTTAATTTTAGAACTTATAAACTTGTTTGACCAGTTTATAAACTTAGACAAATACCTCACATATATTAGTCTAATAATACCAATATTGTCTTATATTAATATTTAAACCCGTCAAGTAAATATTGTAACCTAGATACATAGATAACCAAAATTGAGATGTATGATGAATCTGAACTTGAGACATTGTTGACCACTTAGTTCAAAAGGTTCAATGTTAATATTGAAGTGTAACGCATATAATAAGCTAATGAGTACCAATAATAATAATAATAATGGTAAGATTTTTGCTCTTTTATCTTTATAATTAATTAGATCGATTATTTATACACTTAATATTTATGTAATATACATAAATTAAGGGAGAATGACATTTTCCCACCCAAGGTTTGGCCAAATGACATTTTATCACCCTTCAAGCTTCAAAATGACACTTTCTCACCTTTCGTTAGGTTCTGTTATGTTTTTCGTTAATATTTTACTGAAAAGATAAAAATACCCTTAAATATTTGACTTTATAAATTTTTATTATTTTATAATTAGCTAAATAGTTAAATATTAAAAAGTCAAAAAAAAAAAAATAGTTAACCTCGCCTAAAAAGTTAGGATTATTGCTATAAAATTGTTTAAAGTTAAATATTTATTTTTTATAGTGTCATCAATATTTCATCACTATTATTCAATAATCTACTATATTTATAATGTTTTTTATTTTTACTAATTAACATAAAAAAATCAACATTCTTAATTAATTAAATAAACAAAGGAAAAAAAAAAGTTTTTACACTTGAATCAATAAATAATCGAGTAAAGACTTTGATTTAATTAAATTTTAATTTATAATAAACTAATAAGAAATAAATTATTTAAGGATATTTTCATCTTTTCGACCAAATATTAACATAAAACACTAACAAAACTTAACAAAATATAAAAAAAATGTCATTTTGAAACTTGATGGATGGAAAAATATCGTTTCGCCAAACCTTGGGTGGGAGAATGTCGTTCTCCCCATAAATTAACTTGTACTGCCAGTCTACCCCTGACATTGCCAACTCAATTTCGCATGCTTATCGGCCCTTCATTTCTCACATCTACCCTTATACCTTGTTAATAAATGTATTATTGATCCTTGTCCCGTGGTTTATTGATCTTTGTACTGTATGGTCCTTTCTGGGGCACATTACATTAAGGAATGCATAAGGTAATATTAATGGCTTAATCTCTATTTACTAGCCAATGAAATCATTTTATTTTTTGGGCAACAGTTATAAAATATCGACCTGTTATTATAATTAATCAACTAAAATAACTCAACCGACAACATATAATTTCAATGATAATTGTACTTTTACAGTTTGCATGTCAGTACTAATGCATTGAAGGAGCTCCAAGAATAAAATAAAGATTGCACATGATCCTATTAAAAGGGTTCTTTGTTATGTTACCTGTCTAGTAATGTTATTGAGACAATTTCTACCACTTGGCTGTTGTCGAGGTCTTAATAAGTCAATTCAATTCTCTTACATTATTGATGATAATTTATATGGGTGAAATTCAAAGTACAGACCGTAACAGACGCCTACTACAAAACATTAAAATCTTTTTTCCGATCCAAACTTTGATGCGTTTTTATATCTATCTTAAAATTGTTATATTTTGGTTTAAATAGAAGCTTATATCAAGAGAGTATTCTGATATGTAGCAATTAATAAATATAAACTTTGATAATGGCATATGTATATAAGTTGAATTGAACATTACTCTGACTATTAAACCGTTAGATCAGTGATGCATTCATCTCTTCTTAATCTTTTAGATAACTTGAATTTTTCTTCTATTAAAAAGTGGGGATTTGAAACATCAACATTTGATATCTCTAACCATTTAGTTTGTAACCGGATGACAAGACTTTAAATTACCTTAAGAACTTGTATTCCAGTCCCACCAAGTGACGACCCACCATATTTATGACTTACTTGACTTATTGGAAGACACTTTAAAGTGCACCACTTAAAAACATAAATACCCAAGTCACTAAAAAAAAAATATCTCTTGTCAAGTTGTCATCCACTGAAAAACATAAAGCTAATAAGAGAAACCTGAACATTATATTTAAATCCATTACATACCTTGCAGCACTAGTCGGATTTCACAAGTCAACAGTTAATTAATATGAAAGTGGATCGATCATTAGTATATATAGTTATGAATTGTCAGGTAATTATGTTTTGTTTGCATAAATTAAATTGAATTGAACTTTACTCTGACTATCAAACTGTTACTTCAGTGATTCATTCATCTCTTCTGAATTTTTCACAGCTCAATCGATCAGTTTATTTATAAAGAGCAAGTTACTAAGTTAGATCTCCCCAATGAACCATATATAGGGTCAGATTTTCTCAGAGGTGTGTGTCATTTGTTCATGAGGCAAGCAAATTGCATTTCCTATAAATATTTGATCTTGAAAAGGGTGCAAGAATTATATAGCATCTCACATGAAGAATTGATGAGGAGCAATTGCTGCTTCAAATAGGATTAAATAAGAGTGTGACAACTCACCCTCGAAGACATGAACATAATTTTGAGAGTGACTCATTGTTTCAATATTTTGACGAGATTAGAAATTTTTATGGGTTTTGTTAGAGTTGATTAACTCGCTTTATACGATTACCCATTTTAACTACAGTGGAATATTTTTATCAAGTAGATTAGGAGATTTCATATTTGAACATTTCATCCCCAAGTGCATAAAGTAAAGAATACAGTCATTTACATGGTTTGGCTAAAATCCATTTTTAACCTATATCTATGGGACCTTGTCCAGATCGAAGTAATTCACTAAGTTAAAAACACATTACAAGACAATGTTCAAAGTTGATTTAAGATACAGTAAAAAAAACTCTTTTTTCAACTTTACACTTAGCACCGCACTCTGAATCTTTAACGTGTTGAAACTCTTTGGACTTTCTTGACACCAAGAACACACCCGAGAACAGCTTCTGAACCACCAAGCTTCAAGCACCGACGCCAAGCACCAGCATCGGCAAAGGAATCACGTTCCAACAGCCATCAAGACAATGAATGATATGGTGAGGTTTTGGCACAAAATAAAATGAACCTATAAACCTTTGAAGAGAAATATACTCTAAGAAATTTCAGAGTACAAAGAAGAATAAAAGATCAAAAGGTTAGACTCAAACACGCAAGAAGATATATTATATAATGTAAGGTTTCTTGCTCAACACATACAACAAACAAAAACAGATAAAGCAGCCCACTATATAAACTGTAAGCATAGGGTAACGAATGGTTGTCAATTTCCCCAGGAGCAAAACATTCCCATAAACCACTACAACTGTAAACTTCATATTCTGATACTGTAGATAAGCCAGCCTGAAACTACAATCTGAAATACCATCCCTCCCAATAGGATAATCTGGAACAGCATCATGTAAACTCCCTAAATGCTTATGACGCCAAACAGGATGCATTCTATAAATAGGCCAAAATCTGCACAATATCAGCTTGTTCTCCCACATATTCACTCCTGGTAACAGTTACTAAAGGCATCAAGCTTACTCAAAAACCAGCCTGAGGA